CAAATCTAGTTGTTTGCAAGTTGTCCCAGATTTTTAAGATAACCACAAGAGCCGCAATTAATTAAAAACCGAATTATTTTCTACACCGCTCAGGGGGAAGTTCGTCGCAACTGTACCGTAACGAATAGCTATCGAATTTCACTCAAGTATCACCAAAAACTTGACATTTGCCCATCTCTGTAAAACATTACTACACGCATCGGGCCGGAAAATTGGTAAAGATATTTTATAGGAGAATTAAACACTAGGACTCGGACAAGTTTCTAAAAACTCCCGTGGTTATTAATCAATCTAGGTCGTATTTAAACGTTTACTGATTTCAAAGACAATTTCGGACTTAGTACGTCGGGTAGATGGCTAGAATGGGGAAAATACTGCACTTTTTGATTGGAATATGCCACTTTCTGTGGTAATAGTTAATACCAAAAGGCAACTTTTGAGATAGGGAGCCACTCGAAAATCCGTGCAGGAAACCAAAATGGTGGCCGTCAAAATGGCGCCATTAGCCGCAATATATTTTTTTGTATCTCTGCTCCTAATAGTCCGATTTTAATTTTCTTTTTTTTTTATTGAAAGCTCTTGTGACGAGGAAACTTTTTTGCTATATAACCTTTATCTCTAAAACTTAAGGATTTAGCACAATTTTTAAAAAAAGTGTTTTTTTTACGAATTTGTATCACAAGTACCTAAGCTCTTAATTGTGCAATATCCCGGTCTTTTCGACAAAAAAGGCCATCGTTTAGAAATTAAATCGATACAACCCCAAAACTCCATGTATCTACCCTGCAAGTTCGGAAAATTTCAATGCGCCATGTTTTTTTTTAAAATGCGCAATATTTGTTTCATCAGGCACGATATCAAGCATTATGAAAATTGAAAGGAAAAGACTCGTCAATTTTTTTCTCTGAAAAACAGAAAATACACTCTGCTTTTAAAGTAATTAAAGAAACACTCATTATATCAACTTTAACTCTTACTCTCGCTCTTACTTATCCTATTTTATTTAACTAGTTGGTTTAAGATACGACGAATGTGAAATTTGGAGTGCTTATACATATATCAGATCATGGGTTTTTTCGAGGATTTTCTCTCGGGTTTTCTTTAAGAATATTAACGGAATATTATGATTTCCAAGTTTTAGATACCTATTCATATAAGTTGAATCATTTTTATTATACAGGGAATCCACCTTCTGTAAGCGGACGATAGAGCCTCAATGGTTGAGATTAATGGTAACGGTTTGTTGGTACGTGAAGCCTGAGGGGAAGCCTAAAACGTATTTTTAGGTATATAGGGTGTTTTCGAGGGCAGCCTATACATTTTGATATTTTTTATAGGTATCCCCGGGTATCCCTTAACAAAAGAATTATTTTTGTAGGTCTTATCGGTTTTTTTCGTAATGCTAACCGCGAGGCTAACCGTTTTCCGGATATGCTTTTTATACAAGGTGAAAATTTGATCTTCAAATCATTTTTTAAAGAAACTTTTTATGACATCCATAATTATAAAAAGTTTGCTACCAATCCACGTACATTCAATTTGGGGTCAGTAGCATACTTCTGCACGGTCACTGTCACAGGGGGCATACTGTTTTTAAATAGCAACCACTATTTTCTTGATGTAGTGAATTATTTGTCGATACAAACTGATACAATAAAACTCGTTTTTCAAATAATTGAATTTTAATATTTCTTTAGCTAATCGACTTCGAATAGTATAGACCGATTCATCATCAGACCTTAAGAGTCAGAATATTGTGCTGAATAATACAAATCCATACATATGTTACACACAAAAATCGGGTTGAGCTTACTTGTGATTCAAATTCGTAAAAAAAACACTGCATTGTGCTAAATCCTTAAGTTTTAGAGATAAAGGTTATATAGCAAAACTTTCCACGTCACAAGAGCTTTCAATCAAAAAAAAAGAAAATTAAAATCAGACTATTAGGAGCAGAGATACAAAAAAATATATTGCGGCTAATGGCGCCATTTTGACGGCCACCATTTTGGTTTCCTGCACGGATTTTCGAGTGGCTCCCTATCTCAAAAGTTGCCTTTTGGTATTAACTATTACCACAGAAAGTGGCATATTCCAATCAAAAAGTGCAGTTTTTTTTGGCGTACCCAACGTACTAACTGGAAAATCGGAAAATGAGCTTTGTCAGACAACAGTGAAAATTGAAAAGTGAAAGTTTGAGGTGCTGATAGATACTTTCCCGTTCCATAATCTCATGCCTTTCGATATAGGTTGAGGAAATTGGGGAAAAAACGCTACGTTTACGTAATCAGTTGTTATAAGTTGCATTTTGTGTCGATTGGCGCTATAGTACGATAATTATAGGAACAGAGATGGTGTTCGTAACTAAAACTATTGCAACAAATGAACTTTATTGGTATAAGAGAATATTTACGAATGTTAACAAGGTTTAGGTCTTCAATTGAAAATTGCAAGAAGCGGAATCCAATGCATTATGAGTAGCTTATCTATATATTTTTTAAACGTCGTACGCTAAGGTTTAATTAAGGAGGATACAAAAGCAGAATTTTACTTTATACTTACTATATATAGCGAAAAAAAAATGATGTATTGAAAAGGTACCCGTAGGTAGGTTAAGCTTTATTAAATCACAACAGCAATTTATTTTCCCTTTATTTTCCTTTTCGAAAAACAAATTGTCAAGGAGACGCGAGTGCGTACTTCCGGCGGAAAAGAAAATCTCACGGCAGGCATTATCTTGTACCATATCAGATTTGATTAACGAAATTGGCTGTAAGGAAAGTTTCGTGAAATATTTAATGTTTTAATTTAAAAGCTAATCAAGTATGAGTGCAAAGTTTTCAAAGTGTGACAGATTCGTAAAGAGCTTTGCTTATACCTATTAGACAGTGTTAATAAGTAAAACGTAGCTTTGAGCGGCGTGAATAATGAGAAGTTCTAACAGAACCGTCTAGAATTATGCAGGATTAACATAAGACACAGCACACAGCTTACTGGCTCCCCGTTATTCTGGCATTGAATAATTAGGGAGCACTTTTTCACTTCGCTTACTGTCGACTTTTTTACCCATACTCTCTGATGTTTACTTTACATTAAATCTTATTTCGTTTTGCCAATAAAAAGTTGGCGTTTCTTTGCTTTTCCCTTATTAAAACAAACAATCACATTTATTCTACATGAATTGTGACGTTTGAATAATGTAACCGGTTCTTACTACGATGTATTTCGACACGCTTTCACTGCATGAAGGAGTCCAAAAAATAAGGTTAGCACCATGTTTGAGCCAGAAACTGAATTTAGTTTCTGATAAGTCTTATTTTGATCATCCGAACATTTTAATACGGACACTAATTCACTATTTGCGCTTTTGACGTGCTACTTAATACAGTTGGATATCGGAAAAGACTCCCAGATACTAAATCATCTGTATCAATTTTTTTTCAAATTCCTATTGGGGTTGTGGTGGAGACATAGGAAGACATTTATGAAATCTAAAAGCATACCCGATTACAAAAGTCCTTTTCATCGCGGTTATTTATTTTTTTTTCTCCTCAAAAAAGTTATTTTTTGCTTTCGGTATAAATTTTATCCTCTGCTCTGCGGGTAGGATTGCAGACACATTAGTCTAGGAAAATGTAAAAATACTAATTAATATCTATATTATATTTAAAAAATTCTGCAGACAGAACTTGAGGATTTTATTTAATAGTCATTGTAAATTCAGAGGCGTAACTAGGGTGTGGCAGCCACGGCACGTGCCAAATATTATTTATCACTCGCATATACACCATTTATTTGCTTATATTGTAAAGTCGAGTGTTTCCGAGAAGTCGCTAACATTCTAGAACAAAATAAGTCATATTTCCCGGAAAGATTACGTCACATTCGATAGCCGATGACTAATCTTTCATGGCGCCTCAAGGTCTATCAGGATTTCTAAAATATTCGCCATTAAGAATTGGAATGTAGGTAACTGAAAAATGTAGATATTTTGAGCCCTTCCAAGAAATAAGCAAATTTTAATAGCGAAACAGAAACGGAACAATCGTGAGGAGAAATTGAATGATGCAAATAAAAACAAAGAAGTTTAAATAAAACAAAAGTTGTCCTTATGGAAAATGGAGGATTAAGGTGGTTGAAATCAAGTTGAATCTTTTATGATACGCCACGATATGACAATAGCGACGTATCCTTTTGTAACAGAATTAGTAGTGGATTAATCCATTCAGAGTGTAAACTTCGATCACTATTGTCTAAAACTTGATTCTACCCCAGTACACAAAATTAAACGGAATAAAAAAAGTTGTCGTTTTAACTAAGACAGTAATCCATCGTATTTCTTAGTTGCAACTAAAAAGTTTTTATTTTAAGCTTGTTCGTCTTTTTTACTTAAAACAGAGTAAAAAGATTCATTTTATAGTTAAACGTCGGCTAAACTTATAAGACACGTTATAAGGGAGTAAAAAAGAGCAAAGCTCCGCCCGACAAATTCTAAACGTTTATCCGCATTGAAGCGTCTTAGCCTTGGTATCTGCATTATTTCTGAAAATATCGAAACCCCGCGGACAATTCAAGAGCAATTCGATGATTGCTTGGGAACGCTTTGTATGTATAAAAGTTTCAACCTTCAATGCACTTGTTGAATATTTTCTATGGGGGGGTGAAAGTTAATCATCATTAGAATCCATCTGTTGCATTAGATACCCCCATATTCATGAGTATTGATTCTCCATCGAAATACAGAAACCTTTTAAAAGTATTTTGAATAAGCTCACCCTTCTCCATCATTTTAATACAAATAACATTTTAACTTTATCGGCGGTCATAAAGAAATCTATTCCATTACACAAATTACAACCTTTAGATAAGAGCTTTTCTGGGGGAAACTTTCTCGTGTATATCGATCGTTTTAAATAATTTTCGAGTATCTTCCATGTAGACGTTTTCGGAGACAACCGTCCATAAAACGGCATTAGTTAGCTAATAAAAAGGATACTCACCGACAACCATCATATGTCCGTGCTCGGTAACAGTTTGAAAAGAGGGTGCCTCTCCGGAGACCTCGCAGCGATAAACTCCAGTCGTTGTAAGCTGAACGGAAGACAACACAACTTGATTTTCCGTAGAGTTGTGCAACTGCAACAAAGAAATTGGATAAAAGTTAAAATTGTCAAGAGGGTGAAAATTTTGTTAACGTTAAAAGAACCAATTTATGCGATAACTTCGATAAAGCGTTTCGAATATGTAATGTAGTAGTGGAAAACTGATAAAAGGTCGATATTCAATCTATTTCCAATTTCTGTCAATAGTTTGCCCCTGCGTACCCCTAGGTGATACATCACGGAATTTTTCCAAAGCACTTGCCTACACGAAAATTGATCGCTACATGTTTAAATGTTACTATCCATATAAAAATTATTATCTATTATACTTTAAATGTCAATAAAGAGTTTGATAATGTATTAAAGATGGAGAAACATCGATCCCCTTGCCCGGGCACGCAAATTTCTACCAAAGCTCCTATTTCCGACAGCTCACGTTACATTCATATACAAAATTAATCAAAATAAAACGAACAATCATGCTACTTTCAAAACGGGCTTTATTGTTTTTTGCATTATTTATCAAAAAAAAAGTAGGTACGAGTTGCTTTCCATCAAGGCTACATCCTGATAAAATGTGTATCCCCAGATTCTGACAGGTACCCACTTTACGCATTTATTATCCTCTTAGCTTGTTTTTTTTACATCGGCGACTTTTTAGTCGTTTTAAGCGTCAAACAGTGTGTTGAATTTCACTTTTCCAAATTGATTTCGCATGCCAACACGAAATGTTTCCAGGTGCGAATTATACTATATCGATCGCTAGCGTCGACGATAAACTAATTTGATTAGGGACGTATCACATTTTGTACAAGGAATAAAAATCAAATTTGATATAAATGATGGGTACGCGCTTCGCATACGAAATGAGAGCATTCCTATTGTGTGTGTCGGGTTACCTATTTTTTTACTTTTGTATTTCACTTTTTATTCCGCACGCGATCTTGATGTTTTGAGTCAGAAAAATAAACGATTAGATTTTTTATTTACGCCTAACATTTTCAAATGTATTTCATTTATGATTGTCAGTATGTGTAACGTTTGCACGCTTTTTTCTTTAAATTTCTTTCGCGTTTTTTAACTATTGAAATTTCTCATATTACTCATTCATTATTCTCTTTTTTGTTTTCAGTTTGCCTGTTATAAGTAGAGGGTAATTCCTACTGTATAAAAAATTGCTATTTTACGTCACTTTATAGTACCTACTTTCATTAGCAATACATAATAATAAGTTGAAAATTGTCAATACCATTAGCATATTTCTGTGTAAACAATGTCGTTTTGGGACGATGAGGATTAGGTTCAGACGTTTGGGTTTAATTATTAATTAAATGCTCATACAACTGAGGTTAATCAATTTGGTGGGATTATTTACGAATAAACACAAAACGATTTTAGGTATCTGCTTTGTTTCAGTGTAAAAGAAAGAGTACTTTTTATTTCAATTCCTGTTATCAATTTATTTTTTAATGCATTTGTGACAGCTCCGATTTGATTTATTGGGTTTTCGTTTATTTTATATATGTCTGGAGAGGTGGATTTTTAATCAGAAATGTTGAACTTTTAATTGCATTTTTTTGTTGTTCCGGGGGCGAATAGGTACTGAGTGAAGTTTCATTAAAGAGCTAGGTAGGTTTGAGGTGTTTTTTATCCTCTTCGACATCAGCCCGTTTCCGATACCGTAGTGTCGCAATAACTACTCGTAATGATCCTTTTTTACATAGTGATGAAATTATCGGACTTTTTTTAACGAAAAATCGTTTTTAAAGTGGTACTTTTTTTCACGATTTTTAATATGCGTTTCCATGGAGTTTAGTCCTGTCTATGAACAATAGCATCCATTTTTAAGTGACAGTTAATCGCGAATGTCAATAAAATTATTCAATTGTGGGTTATTATGGATCACTATGCAAAAAAAAATCGTGTACAACACGTGTTGAAAGTGTCTTTTTCCATGAATTTGCTTGATCAAACTACAAATTCATGAAAAAAAGTATCACTTTCAAAACTAGTTGTACAAATCTATTCCTGAACCGTTCACAGCGTTTCTAACCTGTGACTTAAAAATTGTGATCCGGTGGTTGTCATCTTCACAATATTATACTTATACGTTAAACCTTAAAGTATTAACATTAGGTGCGAAGTCGGGCAAGTTTCAATAATAATCGTGTAATTTCTTCACTTTCCTCAAACTAATCCGTATCTTACAATGTAAATCCGAAGTAAAGTGCCTGTATGTGTAACATAGAATTTAATTATAATCGGTTGGAGCTCCGAGCTGTTATAGAAAGTTAAGGAGAAATTTTGTAAGCGAGAAATTTTGAAGCATAACTTATGAATCTTGAGAACGTGTAGCTAAACTAAAAGGGTTTCTAGTAAGTCAGAAAAGGAGGAGTCGAGAATGTTGAGTAATAAGTACAACCGTTATGCGTACATTAGCAACAATAGTAGCAATATCAATAGAAGTTGGCCATTAGAGAGGTATGTATAGTCTTATAGACGCAGAGGCGTTATGAATATGATGCATTGTTATCCTTAACCAACCGACGCTAAGATATTAAGGCAGTATTTCTCCGTAACAACCCGTGTTATCATAATATCCTTCTGCAACCCGAGAGAGATCCCATTTAAAAGATTTGCGATTTAATTTTTTGTGTAAACACGTCGGGAAAGGCATTTCTTTTCTAGGGTGTCAGTTTTCAATTTCCATAGCATCCCATTATGCGGCTGCTTTGTTTCACTTCATTTATCATTCGACACTGCGTGATATCGTAATTATATGATAATGAATTACTGTAAAAACTTTATTATTATTCTTTCGCGAAGCTCCCGATAAAACAGTTCTTCTGCATTATCACAAGACTAATGACTTTCGCTTTTCCTACGCATTCCACGCCCAACTCATTACGAAAATTTTAAATTTCAAATCGACCCGAATTAATCAGAATGTGGGGGAGATCTTTCGAAGGTACACAAGACGTTTACGCATCAATAATGAAATAACTATCATCCTCGTTATAATCGGGGTTAGTTTATCATTACCGCTAGTTACTACAAGCTTGCTTAATCCCCAATTCCGAAGAAGCCTTTTACTTTGTATATATCTATAAAGGGTTTACATGGGATTTTCAACTAAGTTAATTTGGGTTATACGAAATTACAATCTGCCGGTTGTGTACTATCTGCATAACATACAAACACGGGTATATCATCATTTTAGATACACAAAAACCGTCAGCCCATTAAAGTAATTACGCAATCAAAATTATAAATTTACGAACCTCATTTTTTGTGTAGATAACAGAACATTAACACAGGAGACTTTTTTTACGTTATAAACTCCATAATCCTTTATTTTTCAACTACGTTGGAAGGTACACAAAATATTTTTTTATTGGACTGCTGCACCGGAAAACGCTACATATAAAATATTATTCGCACACTCGAGTTTACCCTGTACGCAAATCCGCAATTCACTTTTCGGCGATCGAAGACGACCACCAGTCCTATCTATTTTAAACCCTTAAGCATCAGCCCTATTTGAAAGAAAGGTGGGTCGACGCCTTCAGAAAAAATGTCCACTACAAGAAAGCGTATTCACCTGAAACCTTTTCTTATGAATTAGCGATCCTTACAGCTTTTCGTGGAAAACTTCCTCCCTCCTAGATGAAATTCATACTGGATATTTGCCCCAAAAGTGTTTAGGTTTAGTCTATTTCCAGCACTTCTTGGAAGCCGTCTCCAAAGATTTTCTAGAAATGTCAAGTTTCTTACGATGATGGTACACATATTTTCTTCAAAAATCTTTCTATAAATTTCATGAAGCTGAATTCAAAATTCCCCGGTATATATTAAATTGATATAATGTGTCTCTCATTGTTGTGACAACCAATAAGCCGTACAAAAAAGTATTTTCAAAGATCCTTAAGGAATTCTTCAGATTTTATCCACGGAGATTCAATAAAGATCTAAAATTCTAGTATGAATTTGCATGGGCCGGCTGAAATTCCGACGTTCTCTTTAATTTAATTTATTTAATCATTGCACCGCTACAGTACCGTTTTAATTAAAGGTAATCATTTGATACTTTCCATTCCATTAATTATAAGGGAGGACATTGTTTTGCTTTTCCTGCATTTGATGTTTCCTAGCTAAGTACTGCTAATTAATTTATGCTTTGTTGCTTGTATTCTTGATAGGGTTTTGCCGTGTACTATGAATCTTCTTTGAGATTCTTGGCTCGTGACCGACCGCAATGTGTCCGTAAGAGCCCTGGAGCTTTCGTTTTCTGAGTGAGTTTATCCGTGGCAATCGCTTCTACCGCCGATTGACCAGGGGCGAGGCCGCATCTCTTGATGGCGCTCGAGTTTACCGTCCCGTTCCGTTCGGCAGCTGTCGTCGTTTGAGTTAAATTTAATTCATATATTCACTTAATGTTATTTTATTTTTGTTTAATTAATAGTATATTGTTTAGCAGGGCGAGAAGTGGGTTTTCGCTGACAAGTCCGAAGTTTCAATAGAATAACCTCTGAAAAACCTCAGGAGGAGTTCTGAACAGTTTTTTTAAAGAATCCATAAACATTTTGTGAAGAATATTTTTATTTTTAGCGCATTTTTTAAGAATTAAAAAAATGTGCTATTGATTGCGGTTAGTCGGTCCGTCCATCTGTCCGTCCGTCCGTAAGGAATTAATTTCTACCAACCATAGCCCTCTCCTCGACTCCTTATCGTAATCGGATATAAATAATTCCTTACATCTGAACAGCAGATTGTCGATTTGTCGGAGGATGGTACTTACAAAGGGCGATTGGGCGAATATCTCGAAAACGCTTTGTCGGAGGAAAGTACCCACAAAACAAAATGAATTGTACGGACGAGCTATATCTATTGGTGATCTCTACCAAGAAAGAAAACATCGATAAATCGCTACTACCTTATAATTATAACGTAACCGTTTACTCTGCCATTACGGTTTTTAAAAAATGCGCTTTATCTGCACCAGTTGTGCACAATTTGGACTTGTTTTATTTTGGT